CCCTGTGTGGGGGTGGGGGGGGGGGGGGGGGCTCCTCCCTCCCCAGCAGATCAGGGAGACGCAGAGCAGCTTTTCTCGCCCCGGAGGACGTGGACGGCGGGACCGCGGCGCATCTGGGCGTCCCGCCGCTCCCATCCTCCGGGGCGAGAAAAACCCCGTTCGTAACTGCGGATCCGACATAAGTCAGATCCGCGTAACTCGTGGACTGCCTGTACAGAATATTCTCCCTTCACACATAATGCACACACATACACAGACACACTCACTCACTCTACAAGCTCATGTCATTGGGGCTTGCTAAATCAACCATATGTGGAACTGAATTTCTGTACCTGTAAAATGCATAGAGAACTAAAAGGTTTCCTATAATTCCAATAGATCCAATTACAAGAACACAGGTTCCAGTAGCGTAAAAGACATGATCAGGAACTTCTGCTTTCACCACAGTGTGGTGATGAGTTCCCATATCCAGGATCTGGAAAGAAAAGCAAATGAAAAATAGAAGTTACCACAATCAGTGCTGTTAATCAAGGGGACAATTAGTCCATGCACTGTACCTCCTAAACACGTACTACAAATTAAAGCCAGATTCTTACATACAGCTGAGAAATTGTTGTAGAGCTTTGTAGAAAACTTGTCCTTGCCATTGACAATATTATATTTGTGTTAAGCATAAACAGAGCACTTCATTCTTCAAATCTCTCTATCCCGCATCATTAACAAATAGCATACACAAATGCGAGGAAAAATATCCTATTAGATTATGTGAGACACTGCAAGAACAGTCTCACATTTCAGTTAAAAACCTAGTACTAAATATATCGATATATATATTTTTGCTGGGGGACATACTGATAAAGTTAAAAGAATATGGAGTTTAAGGAGAACTCCCACTAAAATCCCATTTTAATTAAATTATTTAATATGCGACATGTCATCATGCCTCTACTTTTATTAGTAGCATCGCCAACTGTCAACATTATTTCTAACCATATCCATTCACTTGATCTTGGGAATGACAAACTGATGAGCACTTGGACAGTCTCGGAAGGCGGTTTACAAATGGGAGATTACTCTATGGAACATTTTGCAGGCAGAGAAGCCTCACAAGAAGTTGCAAGCACACTGTTAATCTACCATGACCCCCAGATCTTTTTCTGAAGCACTCCTTCCTAGGCAGTCATGTCTCATTTTGTACGGCTGCAGCTGATTATACCTTCCTAAGTGGAGAACTTTGCTTTTGTCCTTATTGAATTTCATCTCAGTTTCTTCAGGTCATTTCCCAGTTCATCTAGATCATTTTGAATTTCAATCATAGGCATGGGAAGTAGGGGAGCAAGGTTCTATAGCTGCTGCCCAGGGTCTCAGCTGCCAGGCTTCCATGTGAGGTCACGGCTGCCAGCCCCAGCTACAGAGGACAATGGGGGTGAAGACAGCAGTAAGGTGGGGGTGCAGCTCAACACCTCCACTCCAAAAACTGTTCCAGGGCTGCTGATTTTAAATCCTATCCTCCCCAAAGCACTCACAGCCCTTCACTGCTTGGTATTATCTGAAAACTTATTCAACAAAACTGGATCCACAGCTGATACCAGTGGGACCCTACTTGATATGCACTTCCAGCTTGACTGGAGGGGATGGACCGAAGATAGTGACCAAGCCATTTGTCTCGTGCCATCCCTCTCCAGCCTTCCACAAACCTTGGGCAGGCACACCACTCCTACCCCCTGGCTAATACCACTCCATGGACCCAACCTCCATGACTTGATCTCACTTCCCTTTAAACTCTGTTCCAGTTCTAGCCTTCACAGCCTCCTGAAGCAAGGAGTTCCACAGGTTGACTCTTTGCTTTGTGAAGAACAACTTTCTGTTACTAGTTTGAAGCCTGCTACCCATTCCTTTCCTTTGGTGTCCTCTAGTCCTTCTTTATGGGAACTAATGAAGAACTTTTCTGTATGCACCCTCTCCACCCAACTCCTGCTTTTAGAGACCTCTATCCTGTCCCCCCTCCATCTCCTCTTTTCTAAGCTGAAAAGTCCCAGTCTCTTTAGCCTCTCTTCATATGAGACCTGTTCCCAACCCCTGATCATTTTAGTTGCCCTCCCCTCTCCATTTTGGATTCCATTTTGGAAGACACATTATCTTTATTTTGTACATCAAGAAGAGGGGCTAGGGAAGGGTAAGTGGAAGGAGGTGAGGCCAAACTCCTGATTTGGAGAGGGAACTAACTCCTGATTTAAATACCTGCGGTTAACAATCCAGCATCTTCTCATATGATGGGTGAAC